GTTTATTGTGTGGTCTGAGGTTGCACACCACGGTGCGGTAGATTGCGACTTGAATTTTTGAATGCGGCCTGGCTGTTTTTGAAATGAGCAGAGGAGGGGGGGGGGGGGAATTTTCCCTCTCCGGTCAATGGTGTGCTGGTGAATTGCCCGGTCTATGTTGGGTTAAGGATCTGAGCATTTATTGGTTAATGACAGCTTATTCCACAATTTTTCAATGGAAGTGAATACATAACTGAAGGTGAAGGTACTCAAATGAACCTAAGTTGCTGTTGTCTATTTTTTGTAATCCTTCCTGTGGTGGCGATTAATACGGATTCATGTGATTGTTATTTTCTGGCAATTCGGATCGTACCGGATTGGATTGAGAACTAATGAAAAAATGGATTAGTGGGTGGATTGGTTGGACTAGTCGGATTGAACCGAACTCGATCCTTGAAATTCACTCCGTGAAGTGATCTAGAAGCATGCGTAGTCTAAAATAAGTTCACCGCTAAATGTCAGAATGCGCCAGCCGCACTCAGCGCATCACAGCCAAATACGTAACCTGCCTTTTTTGGATTTTTTTGTTTGTGTTTGGATGAGGCTCGCAATCGTTGGTGCGGACTTAAATAGTGATGGACCAAGGCCCTCAGGAGCATATAGCTGATATCTCTCATTGCGTTGTGGGAACAGGCCCGCGTGACTGGCTGAATGGAGAAACATGTGGAGATGGGTGAGGTGAAAGGTATATTGAGTGTTCCTTTTCCATTTAACACTACAAAGTATGTGTTTTAATCGAATGTACACGCAGCAAGACGAGCACGCATATCTATTGCTCTTGTCCTATGCTTTGGAATGCAGAATACTTCCTCTCTTTTTTGGCGCGTACTCTACTTTTCTAGTCGTTTTCTTACGAAACTTTACCTGAGAGCATCCGTAAGGCAACTCTTCTGCCCGCTCAGAGTTGGGCGCGACTGAATGCGCTCCACACAAAAATGCAGGTCATGGTAACCGTGCGAGAATGGGGTCAGTAGGAAAATGTGTTAAAAGTAAACTGTAATTCAACAGCAACCATATTTGCCAGACGTTTTAATGCTCTCAGTGTGCAATGGCCGGACAAGACCTACGCTTCATATTCTCAGCCACGCTCAATGCGGCGCCAGCCGTCCCGCACGTCCCGGTTCGCTCACCCCGACCGCCTCGCGCTGTAATCACACACACGCATACACACGGCGGGGAACCGCCGGCGTTTCCGCTCTGTCCGGCGGGTGCCGGGAGAGTCGTCGGCGACGACGCGCGGCGCCGGTCCGGGGCCGGCGGCCGGCGCCACTCAGCGTCTCGTAAATTCGGCCCGTCCGGGGGAGCCGTCCGGGGACGGCCCGTCCAGCGTCGACCGGGCGACACTGCCCCCGCTGCTCTGCAGTCGTCCTTCTCGTAATGAAACCGTTTGTCAGCCGCCGCCGGCCGCCAACAAACATTGCGGCAATTATCAGCCGGCCACTGCAGAACCCCAGTTGCATGACTAAGCTACGGGCGCGATATTTGGCTTCTGTGTATTGGGTAGTAACATCATCATGATGCGGTCATTGCGGACAACGGCTCATGTTCGAAATGCATGTCATTTTGTGTGCCAGTTCGCATCCATTTTTATGTTGCATTTTGTGTTGTATGTTGTGAATCATGCTTTCTCTACACCATCGTTACTTTGGATGCTGGAGCGCCCGAAGCTACCAAAATATGATATTTTACGTGCCTGCCATAGGTCACGTGAAAGAGCTCACCTTGAGATTTCCTTGGCGAAGTTGGCAAATAATTTAGGGCTTGTAATTCTGTGCTTCTGTCGTGCTTCCGTTTCAATGAAGGCATGATGCCGAAATAACAACGTACCGATATCTCCATTCTCTTATTTTTTTCCGAGCGAGAAGGCTTTTACTACCGTTTTGGTTAGCGAATCCTTTGATTCGTATTCAACTGTCCTTTACAAAAATCAAACCGTGAGACAGCAGAGGTAAAATTAGCACGGAGGCGGTCATCGTTCATGAAACGAAGTAGATATGGGATACCGAGTCAATAACACAGAATACGCAATCGACAAATTTTGGTTAAAGTGTACCTGTTGTCTGGCTGTGCGTGGACCGTTGATGTCGCATAAGGCACCCATTCATGTGGATTACAAAATATACCATTGCAAATTTGGTGGACCACGCATAGCAACGAACACAAACAGTTCATTTTGCAATGCGCAATATGCGATTTTCTTTCCTTGAAATGCCATTTAGTAAGCATTCTTTTAGCTTTTAGAGCCGTCCCGACGGATATGAGAGCGTGTTCCCCTGCTGTGACTAATCGATGTGAGGTCCAGTCTGTAGTCTTCAGCCGGATGTGCAATGCCGTGTCTATAATGTCTGTAACCTCGGAACTACTGAGGTGGTCCAGAGATATTCCAAGACTTCCAGGTTCCGGTTCGGATGACCCCGCAGACAGCCCCCCCCCCCCCCAGCGGGCTTTGTCGGCCCATTACCCGCACTGGCACTAAGGCCCTGCTGGTTAACGTGCCGACTAACTAGAGCCGAGGCAAGTGAGTGCCGCAGAGATGAGACAATGCAGCGCCGGGTAACATTGAGGGACCAACATGGGACGGCTCCGAGATTGCGCCAAATGACAGGCTCAGCGGCAGGACCCACAGACTGCGGCGCAGGCTCAGCGGCAGGACACACAGACTGCAGCGCAGGCTCAACGGCGGGACCCACAGACTGCAGCGCAGGCTCAGCGGCAGGACCCGCAGACTGCAGCGCAGGCTCAGCGGCAGGACCCACAGACTGCAGCGCAGGCTCAGCGGCAGGACCCGCAGACTGCAGCGCAGGCTCAGCGGCAGGACCCGCAGACTGCAGCGCAGGCTCAGCGGCAGGACCCACAGACTGCAGCGCAGGCTCAGCGGCAGGACCCGCAGACTGCAGCGCAGGCTCAGCGGCAGGACACACAGACTGCAGCGCAGGCTCAGCGGCAGGACACACAGACTGCAGCGCAGGCTCAACGGCGGGACCCACAGACTGCAGCGCAGGCTCAGCGGCAGGACCCGCAGACTGCAGCGCAAGAGCTAGCAGCGGCGTTTATTAAGGCAGCACGCGGTACACGCCGTGTTAAATCGCGGCGGTGGGTGAACGTGAACTTCTGACGAGCGCCATAAAACCATCGCATGGCAGGGAACGCTTATCTGCAGTTAGAAAGGACGTGGTGAGAAGAGTGCGAGCTAGCAACTGCGAATACAAAATGATTGTTTTGTTGCCCCGCAATTTTACTCAAACTGCCATAAGGCTCAATGTAGCTGAAAGGGATTGTACGGCCTTCCCTCCTTCTGCACTTCTTTCAGTCTTTCAGCTGTAGAGAGACGAGAACACAACTGAAGCCACGTTTTTGCTCAGGAAAACGAATCACTGCGGGGAGGATTGCAACCAATGGAAAACTCAACCTTGCAGATGACGTGAAAACAGAACCTGCGTATCTCGCCAACCTTGCTGTTATGCCGACAGTTGTACACGACCTTAATTTCCCATTTGTTATAGTTTAGTTAGAGCCAATTGATCTTCGTTAGAACCACGTCTAGATCCCGGACTCCAACATGAGGCCGATTACCACGTGGAGTAGAACAGCATTTGCCCACTGGCTGCATGTTTAAACAAGACAACCGAGCGGGTCGGTCCGCCTCGGCCATGTCTGACTGCCGCCGTGACTTTATTTAGGAGAGATCATTCCCAAACTTGCTACAAGCGCTTTGCCAGTCGACGCCTTCGTTAACGGTTTACGGTCGGGCCAAACGGGCGAGCTGTCGGCACGTCTCGGCTCCGAACAGCCACTGTCTGATCAAGGCCTTGCACGAGCCCACACTTCCATCGGCCATCTTCCCAGTCGGGCTAGTTTTTTCCCAAAGTCATACTAGTTTTCGTGGCAAATGGCTTACAGGTGCTAGTGCTCACATTTTATCGCGTTCTTATGGAAGGTTAAGCTTCAAATAAATGTAAAAGGCGGTGCTTGTCAGAATAAGTGAAAAGGTGCTTAGGGGATAGGTAGAAGTCAACGATTGCTGGAGGCCAATCAACCGAATGATCTTGTGTGACGTTCAAATTTCTAAAAATAAGTGCAGCGTGCACAAATTGGTAGTGATTTGTTGTAAAATGTCGTCAATCAAATGTTGAATATATACTCAAGACGTTTATAGAGTGCAGTTTGTCGCCGTAATTACACCGAGTCAAGACACCCATAAAAAACCTTTCAGAAACTGGCGATTCGAACGCTGTCGTTGAAAGGCAGCTTGTGGTGACGCCACTGGGTGCGGTCGTGGGTTAAAAGTCACTCAGGCTTTATTTTATGTGATTCCGAATACACTGTAAATAACAAAATGGACGAGATTCTTTAGATGGGAACAGCCTGCATGTAGTTTTCTATCAAGTTATTAGGATACCGATTGAGTACGTTGCAGCCACGTGTAAGCATTACGTGAAAAACAACATTGTAACTGCCAAGGATCGATGGATTCTTACCAAAGTTTTAACATGTCACTCGTCACCATTCCGGAAAATATCTGTGAACAGTCATCTAGAATAAGGACCATGATGATCGCTCAACTTTCGTGCAGTATGCGAAACCTTTATTGATCACTTAGTGGTCCAAAGTTACCAAATTAGCACTCACTGAATCCTCCTAATGTGACCGCGACGATCACAAGCAGGCAGTTAGCTTACGTTTACCCTAAAAGCGTTTAAGCCAAAAATCCCTCCCCCACCCTCTGTTGTCGGTTTTTGTCACACTGGCCGCAGCCGTCCGTCTTCCGCTCCCCCTCCCTTCGCCGCTATGTCTATCGCTGCACGACAGCCGAATCCGCATTGTGCACGGCGCGGTCAGCGGCAGCGGCAGCTGCAGCTGCAAAAACAGGGCTGACATTTGGAGTGAGGCGGAGCCAGCCGCCGGCGGAGGGGGAGGCGGCTGAGCGACAGGCGGCCGCTGACTGGCGTGCCCTGTTTCAGCCGACATGAGGCCAACGCCAGACCGGCTACCGCTCGCCAGCCTGCTGCTCCTGCTCGTGACGTCACTTCCCGGTGAGCGCTGACGTCGCGGGCTGCTCGCCCCGTTCGCCGGTGGTGGACGCCGTCGTGATGTGGGCTGGACTGTAGCTGCGGCGGCGGCGATTGACGCTGGGCGGTGCTGGCGGTCGCTTTGTCGCGACCCGTAAGAGCGAGTTGCGGGAAGGGAAGGAGAACAAATCAGGGGCCGCGGGGGAAGCCAACCGCCCACAAGAACGTTGTCAATTTTCTGCTATCCTCCAAATGATCACACTGCCCCGGTGAGCGGCACTGAACACCGTGCAGATTGCCTTCCCCGACATTTAATTCTGCAGCCTGGTGCGCCGGCTCATGCACCGCGAACGCCGTCGCTGTCCGTTGTTCTCCACTCAGGAGATCGATGTGCCGCTCCATTAAAACAGACGTAGAAGTTACGGCGGGCTCCGGCGAGTCCCAATGGCCTGTGTCCCCGAGCGCGTCGGCACGACGTCCGCCTGGTCTAGCAAAGTGCCGTGTGCGGGCGGCGGATCGGCAGGGTGCTAAGCCGCGTGCCAGAACGTGCTCGCTGGCGGCCGGGGCCACCCGCCGGGTGGCCTCGGCTGATCGCTGGCCAACCCTCCCGCTCAGATGCGCTCTCATTACCGCCGGCGTATTGCGGTGAGCTGGTCGTCGTCGTCGGCGGCGGCAGCGACTGCAGTGCGCCACAAGTCGGCTGCCCACCGACTGAGCCGATGACATATCGACGCAGCCGGTGCCGTGTCACCCTCGGGGTGCGGTCGCCGCGGGGCGGCGCCGTGTATTAATCACGTGCCATTACGCGCCGGCTGGCACAGCCTGCCCAGCACTGGATGGGCGGCCGCGGCCTCGGTCCCGTCGTAGACACGGCCGAGTTTCGGCGGCGTTTTTCATTAAGCAGCCGTCTGAAAACATATCGCAAGTCAAACAGCACGGCGGCTGCGGGCTGGGCGGGCCGGCGCACCGCCGGCCGGCATCCGACGGCTGCGGTTCTTCCGCCTCCGGTCGACCGCGTCCGTCATCGTGTCAAAACATCGGGGCGGCGAGACGGCGAGGCGGCCCGGGTGAAAATCGCCGGTCCGTTTTTCTGAACGCACCACTCGTCATTTCGCCATCATTATGCAGCGGCCTGCCAGACGAACGAGGCCCGCATGCATGACGCGTGATTTATTCTGCGCAGAAATGGTCGCTGGGGGTGGTTAACGTGCAGCGCTCGTCCCCTGACGGATTCATTTTCCGTCTGATACGAGAGGGCTTGCGGAGGATTAATTCGGGCTCATTGGACTCAGATGGAGTGCGTGTTGGGTGGCAAAAATCGCCATCTTAGAGAGGACTGGCTTGAGGGGTGTCGTGGCCATTTTGTCACGCAGCGGGGCTCTGAGTCATTACTGCGTTGTGAAAAGCACATGACGCGTTTTGCCAACCAGTGGCTGCAGGAACAGTGCGTCTGGGCGTTGGCGCCTTCAGCAGCTGTGTGACTATTCTGTTTTCTTTTTACTTTTCCATTTACCCTACTGAAATATCGCCTAGATACGAGGTAAGCAAATGTGTAAGACGTGTTTCATTTCCTCAGGTATACAGGTCTGTAGTGACTGGGTAGGCCAAAGAGGCTGTCAGCACCGGCATAACGTATCGAAGCAGATAGACGTTGCGGTTGTATACTACATGTCAAAGTGCCGGAACACTCAAGACGCAAGGCCAGTTGTGCACTACAATATTGACAAAACGCACTTTGAGAGTTGGACAGTTTTCCACAGATGCGTTTGGACCTGACCTCTTGTGCAACACGAATTGTTCCATGTATACTCTTAGAGTAAATAAACAAAGATGGCAACGGCTGCAAATAACCAACCGTTGAGAATAAGGTGCATGAATAAAAGGAAGCAGTTCATTTCAGGCATAGGCATTGCCCGTACCGTACACCGTGCAAAAGGCCGTACAAAATAACATAGATTGCAATGCCTCGCTATGCTTTGTTTGTCATGCTCCATTAAAAGGAGTGTTCCACATTTGTATGTTTTTTAACTGAAATAGCTAGCTTGAAGATCATTCGGTGCAGTTTACAGCCTGGTCCTTCTTAAACACTCGGTTGGGGGGGGGGGGGTAAATTGATCCCCCAAATTTTCTAGACAGATTTCCTAAGGATACGGCCTAGCCACGTAAAACTTGGCATAGCTGTAGAGAGTTGAATAGCAGATCTTTTTATGTTAGAAATAGGTGTACCTTGTAAGTTCACTGAACTTTGGCAGCTCAAAGTCAGGCCATAGCAGTCAGCAAGGGAATCGTTCGATATAATGCAACAACAGAGCTTTAGAGGAAGCCATACATGTCTGAAATTGTTGGGATTTCCCCCGACCGACAACCGTGACTAGCATCGCATCCCGTTGATGGTCAAACTAAACTAATGCGGCATACACCGGACGGCGCCGATGTGCAGCAGGGGCCGGCAGTCGCCCTCAAATTAATGGTTGCGACCCTTTCACGCCGTTTTTCGTGTAAACAGAGCGAAGGTCTCCGTATCGCACGGTGCGCTCCTAAAAACCTCTGCAGGTCACGTGCGAGGCGTTTTTGTGGGGCGTGTCCTCGGCGTCGCTGCGGTTGGGCGGGCGGGCGGCCGACTCCATTGTCCCACATGTCATGTGGCTTCGGACGTTTGCTGCGTCGGGAGCCAGACGGTGACACGTGACATCGGGTGACAGCACACCTGTGATCGCCAGCTAATAATTATACGGCTCCGCCGTTGAAGGCTCTCGTCGATCTCGCCAATGCCACCCCTCCCCCAAGCCCACTTCGCCTTCACTTCTGCCCCTCCCCTTCCCCAGCCGTTTGAACGCCAGGGTCACAGGGAGAACCAGTGCCGCGTGGGTGTTGACGGACTAAGATTCATCGTTTGAAAACAGTCGGTTGTAGCGCCAGGCGATAGCCTCTCGAGACCGAGAACACGTGCCGGGTATGTGAAGGCTCGCCGTATTTTTCCGTTTGACAACAGGATGGTGCCATGCTTATAAATTGGAGCATTTTTAGTTTGCTATAGGCATGATATAATTGCAGCGTCTCAATCCACGCCGGTTTTTGCATCCACTGAGATTCTGCCTCGCTTGTTGATTGCCAGGTGGCAAATGGCCTGCAGAACATCGGTCAGCAGTGACTCCTCTATACCTTTGTTACATTTCGCAATAATGCTCGTGAGTTTGGTTAAGGTTGGGACACTGTAATGGCAAAGCCGAAACTCGCTGAACTAGGGAAAAGCATGTCTTTTTGATGAACGTATTCCACATTTGAAGATATTGAGGCAAGCATCAGATATGATGGAATGGGCTCACTTCCGCTTTTGGTATTCTGTCAGGCGCAAAAAGTGCTTTAAATGGAATGTCCCACATTTGCAGATATTAAAGCAAGCATGATATCTGATGAAATAATCTCACTTATAGCTATTGGCATACTTCTAAGTGGAAAAGGTTGCTGTAGACAACACAATTTCTCTACTAAAATTGGTAATCAATACGTCATCGTTTGATGGCGTCATGGAACGTTAGCATGGTGTTGAGGTGCTGCCAAACTATCCGTGCGAACGTGCCACGTTTGCGCTCACTTATAGTACTTCAGACTTATCGTGAGATTGCAGCACGGTGCTGAAGGTGTTCACTCAGCCAGATATTGTGGTGTGCTCATGTTTTAGCACTCTCACATGGTTTTCTTGCATGTTTATTCAAAAGTTTAAGAAGTGGTTTGTATTAACATGTTCGATTATGGCGCTTTTCTCAAGTCTCTCGATAACAGGTCTTATTTCCGTAACAAACAGCAATCATCTCCAGCTTTTTTTGTTTTGTAGCGCAAAACGCGATTTGTGGTTAAACTTGCACAGCTTGTTCAGTATTGATGGAGAGCCAATTGACGCCCAGAGTATTTGGGAATCGTACTCGCGAGTGCTAGATCTGAACGGCTCAACGATAATATACTTCCTGGCCTTGGACGGCGCATGGGCGATGGTGTGACATGATTTGAATGACGTCGCCATGGCGTCATGCATGCCTGCATGCCCTGGAAATGGTATGCACATCTTTGCGGGCGTGCAGTTCAGAAACTTGCTTGCTTTGGGTCTTAGGAAGGTCAGGACAGTGCACTGGACCAAATTATCTTGAAAATGGCTATTTCAGCTTAAAACCCCACGCAAATGTTCAACTCTGTCTCAAAATGGGGCTGTTACAAATAGGGAGTGATATATGTCTTCGAATTATTCGTGCCGGACATACCTCAGCACGATTTATGACACCATTGAACTTCATTTGGTCCTCTATCAATGGTATGCGCCCAGTGCAAGTTCCGAACACCAATTGCCTTTTTTCTACATAATACAGGAGGAAGTCGGACAGCGGTGCGAGTTAAGATAGAAATAAGACTGATAATTGAATAACTTAACAAAGGCACCACAGCTGAGCCTGAGAATGCACGTAACCGATATGAAATCACTAGCTGATATGCAAGAAAACCGCCGGAAAGGGCCAAAACACGCGCATATAACGGTGTATGGGTTGTGGAAACACCGCACCGAATTGGCATACCTCGCAATAAGCTGGAGAATTACAAGGAACTCAGCCCGTTCACCACATTGGCAACTTTGCACAGTCAGTTTAAGTGACACAAACGTGATACAGATGTTCCATAACACAATCAAGCTATGACGAATGAAGGAGCTTAATACTAAATAGTCAAACTGTGCTGTCTAGAACAGTCTTTTGCACAATAGTTGCAAGTAAGCTTAGCTCGTCACATCTGACGCTTGCCCCAATATCTACAAATATGTAATATTTCCTGTAATGCAGTCAGCTGACGCCAAAGCTGGTTGGTTGCGCGGTCGCACCTACGGGTTTTGCGGTACTTCATCAGACTGGTCGTAGATGGTATCTATCTTCCAGGTGCGGGAATTGAAGGCAACTGGACGGGCTGCTGGCCACCGCCTGATTCCAATCTGATGCTGTACCGTTAGGCCCCGGAGCTTGGCGGTGCAGCCGCCACTGGAG